AATTTGTTTTATTATTTATTTTATATTTTTTAAAACTTGAACTAATTTTTGATTAACAAACTCAAAGATTTTAAAGCTGGCAATGTCAACACTGTGCGGGAAAAACATATCTTTATCTCCAGCGTTCGGGACTGTCTATTGGAAATTTTAAAGATATGCTGTTTTTAAATATTTTGTGATATTGCTGGTGAATTGAACTTTATGTGGTTTAAGGGCTAAGAACATGATATTTAATAAATAAATGTAACGAATAAAACGTTAAAAAAAGTTCCTTGGGGCGAAATATAAAATCTGAAAGGTTTCATAATTTTTAGCCCAAAGAGCGTTAGACCAGAAAGGCTACTAATTTCATTTGGGCATTTGCGTTAATTCACTTTTCAAACTGCTGCCACCAAATATTACAACCCTGTATTATATTTAAATAAATTAAATAATGAAGAATCTGCATAAATTGTATGTATGCTTCTCTCATTGTAAAAACAACGGTAACTGGAGCCATCAAATTTTGAATAACTTAATCCTCCACCCTAATTTGGAATTTGTTTTATTATCTATTTCATATTTTGTCAGACATTAAAGAATTTTTGATTAACAAACTCAACGCTTTCAAAGCGAAGGAAGGTAACACTTTACGGGGGGAAAAAATTATCTCCAGCTCGCGGTTTGTGCGCGCGATTGTCGTGTTTCGGTAGTTATTTATTTTTTCTTATGTGAGTGACATTACCCGAGTCTTCATTGAGCATCAGTCATGCCAAAACGAAAGTCGAAATTCAGCGATGAATTATAAAGCGAGTTTCCATTCATAAAGAAGGTTAAAAGCAAACCGATAGTGACGTGAAGTGCGACAAATGTGCATTACATTTCTCCGTCGCTCACAGCGGGCGAAGAGATATAATAAAGCATTTGAATACGGATCGTCACAAAAATGCCCTGAAGATGTCGGCATCGTCAAGTGCAATTACAAATTTTTTTTCAAGATCTGAGTTAGGTGAAAAAGGAGCTCGGTTGGCTGCTACAGAAGGTACCTTTGCGTACCACACGATTTATCTCAATCAGAGCTTTAGGTCGATGGCCTGTACTTCCAAATTAATGCAAAAGTGTTTTAATCCAAAATTCACTTGCGTACGAACAAAATGTGAAGCCATTGTCACGAATGTACTTTGTCGATACATAATGAACCAGTCAAGGCAAAATTAAATGTCGCGAATTTTGTGACAGTGTCTACAGACGCGTCGAACCATAAGGATGTCAAGCTATTTCCTGTGATAGTGAGATATTTTGTGCCACTGTCAGGCGAAAGTTAAAATTCTGGACATGCAATCTCTTTCTGGAGAAACAGCACAGACGATTTGCAATTTTCTTGTAAATGCATTAAAACGGCATGGTCTGACGAGAAAGACTGTTGGCTTCTGCGCAGACAACGCTAACACGAATTTCAGGGGATTAAGAAAAAAAAGAGGTAGAAACAACGTTTTTGCTATATTACAAGGTACCCTTAGGAGAAAACTACTAGGTATTGCTTGTGCTGCTCATATCGTCCACAACGCAATCCAAACAGCAGAAGATAGTTTGCAAATTGATGTGGAAGCAGTTACTATGAACGTTTATTATTATTTCTATATCTACACTGTTCGTGTTGAGTCATTCAAAGAATTTTGCGACTTTGCCTGTGTAGAGTACCAGCGCATTTTAGGATATGGGAAAACTAGATGGTTATCACTAATGCCTGCATTAGAGAGAGTTTTAAAATAGTTCCCTGCACTGAAATACTGTTTCTTGTCGGAAGGGAAGTGCTCCACCCTAATCCACAACTTTTTTTTAGAATCACTGTGCTGAATTGTGGCTCTATTTCGTACATAACATCGCTGTGGTGTTTCAAGCAGCAATTCTGCAGGTAGAAGAACAGACTGTTACAGCATTGGAAGTATCTTCTGAATTGGATGATTGAATACATAAATACACTGAGAGAAGCATAAAATACATTTTGTCCAATGAAGTACGTTTGCTGATTACCCAATTAGAAGAGAAAGGATTGACGAGAAAAAATGACATTATAACAGAGTCGTAGCTAGGGTTTTCAGCGCCCAGGGAGAACTAAAGATTTCGCGCCCCCTACTGCTTGCCAAAGATGGAAAACTTTTAATTCTAAAATGTCGTAACATCAGTTTGGCGCCCTTTGGATTCTGCGCCCAGGGACAGATGCCCCCCTTGCCCCCCTCTAGCTACGCACCTGCATTATATGAACCATTGTAAATTTTTAAGACAACTGTGCTGGATATCTGAAAGAGAAGGTGGAACAATTCGAAGATCTAAATGCATTTATTTGGGTTACTTTATTTATTTGGGCAATCTACATCCCATCGTCCCATCGTCAAACAGGCCCATCGTCCGCGTCGAATGAATACATTCGCGGCGCCGTGTGCTGGATGAGCACATTCAAGCAGTAAGGTAGGTAGGAAGTTACAAACTTTGTCACAACTTCAGTATAGCCCACCCAGAATTTTAACCAAATCAATATCGCCAACAGTGTCGATAAATGATATGATGTAGTAACCTATACTTTTCTCCAAACGCAATGTAAACAAGAGGATGGAATTACGGTTACAGCTAATATAGTAGTCAGTTACATTTATTCAACTTCAATACAAATTACCGAGATATCCATTTACTCATAGTTAAATGTACGTGCCAATGTAGTCTTAGTTTTACGGCATAGCTTTTCTTAAAATTTACCTCGCGCTGCATTGTACGAGGAAATACAACATTTTTTAATTAGAATTGTAAAAAATTAACTATCTACACAAAATTCGTAACACTATTTTCGGCGATTGTTTAACGCTTAGATATTGTGGAGAATACTGTTTTGGAGATCAGATTTTTGCATTTAGTTATGGATTGCTCTAAACCTGCTGTTAGTGATGTTGTAAATAAGTATCGAGAGATTTAAAAGGAAAATTTAAGGTGGGAGTTTTTAAACAAGCGTAAAACTTTAGGAAAGCTAGGCATTCCAAACAGATATTTTATGTATGAATTAACAAGAGAGTATGAACGTTTTAGAGGATTTTTGATGGATTGTGGATTATTGAAGGATAAAACTTGTTGTGAAAAATGTAAGATACCATGCAAAGGTACCTTACATTTGGAAAAGCCAAGCAAAGGTGAGATTTTCCGGCATTGTTTTTGAAATTACATCCTTTTAACCTTAATCATTTTCATTAATGATTCCTTAACCTTTTCCCGTTAGCTCGAAAAACAGTTGTGTACCTTTACTGGGGGCTCTTGGCTCAGCGGTTATGGAAAGGGGGAAAAATTATCGAATCGAGTCCTTAACGAGTGGGTGATTAGTGTTCTTTTGTCGGCAGGCAGGCAAACGCTCAGGATTTCCTTTCAATCTAGTTCCAACGCTCAAGGCGTTAGAATGCGGGATGTACTCTAATCGCTTTCACACTGCAGGTAGATGAATACAGTTTTCCCAAGGGAAAAAAAAAAAGTATTATTTTACCTTCAAATGAAATGTATGCTATAACTAGAAATTTTGTTCTAAAAAGTGTTCCATTTTACGATTAAAATAGTTTTTTAAACTTGCACCTATATTATGTACTAAAAAACTAGCGAAGTAATCAGTGTTAAATATATTCACTTGTCGTCGTATCGAAAATTCAGTGATTTAACATATTCAAACATTTCCTTCAAACAATATATGCATTTTCATTTTAATAGCATTATTATTCTGATGTTGAAAAGCAAATTAAATAGAGTTTATTTATTACAAGTGCCATTTAAAAAGCATTTTCGGATTCCAAAATGAGTGTTAATACTTTTACATCTCTGGTAATATTCATTCCCGGAGAAATAGAATTTGCTCACTGCGTTTGTACTGCACTAAATTATTATTGAACAACGCCAGCACTAAATTATTAAATATATAGTATATATATAATAACTACTTTATATTTATACTATATATAAATATATAGTATAAATATAAAGTAGTACACATCAGAGTTGATCTACCTTTACATCAGGGATATAAGATGTTTAATTTATTTAATCGCTTTATAGTTTTTGGTTCAAGAAAGAAATGCAGATGCAGACCCTGGAGATGGAAAGGGAACAGTTGTTCGATGATTTATATTGCTACTCCATTTTTTCTTTGAATGCAAAATTGCATATACAGGAACGCATTGAAATTTCAAAATGTAAACATCTTTGTCGAATGGCGAAATATTTCTTCAGTTTTTTATGATCTACATTTTCAGAATGCTAAAATCGCCTTTGAGGTGTCAAACTGTTAAGCGAAATTTTCAGATCTCAAGCTAGTTACTGTTGCTTTCTATGGAAGTAATGAAGCTGTGAATGAAGATTCGTACTGAGTTAATGAATATTAATGAAGATTCGCACTGAGTATTAAATTCAGGGAACTAAAAAGTAGTACACATCTGAATTCCTGTATACATGCTTAGTATTCCAATATCTTGTTGATTCCCTCCAAAACACGATTCTCACGTAAAATTAATTACTTTCTAAACACTACAAGTTACTGAGAGGTTAAGGCCGTTGAATGCTGGTAGTCAGACATAGGTTTGACGTTAGGCGATCGAGCTGGCCGCATGGTTGGTTTTCGTTAGGGTTTTTACTTTTTACAAATTATGTTAAAATATTATTTTGTATTTGCGCATAAACGAAAGTTTAATTTGAGAAAACAAAAAAGAAGATGAATTCTAGAAATGAAAAAGGAAATTTAATTTGATCAAATAAAATGAGAACAAATTAAATTTTCTTTATTTTTTTTCTGTAGCTATTAACAACTCGTAATTTAATATCATTTTCTAATATTTAAATCAGAAATGCTTTCTGATAAATTAACCATTTACAGAAAGAGAGGAAAAGTGAAAAGGTATATCTGTATCTATCTATACAACATAAATAACCCATAGAGGGTGTGATAAGCATCATCTCAGGAAAGACAGAATGCCAGAAAGTTTTTGTCTCAAATCTACGTCTGTCTGGATAAGCAGCGCCAACTCTCTGTTATTATAAAAATGAATGACGGTTAGCGCTGTCAAGTTTATCGGCGAAAATCTGGCAATACTGATTAATGCAGTTCAAAATTATTCTTTTTTAATAAGGTAGCAGCTAGTATAATATTGTAGTATATAAACACGATTATTAATGTTACTGCCTGAATTCTTTTAAGAATTTTGGAATTTTTTCACTTGGCAACTCACTAAGTAAGCAATTTTCTTTGCAAATTATCACTCCCAGCTTTTTATTGTCAAGATGAAATGAACCGTATACATATTTTACAAATAAATATGTTTTATTTGTGTACTTTCTGTTTGTATATATCAGTTTTTGATTCTTTACGATTTTTTCTTACTCATCGTTCTTGTATATATCATGACACTGAGGCATTGTAGACGGGCGGCTAATTGGTTTCTAACTTGGCATCTGTGAGCTAAATTTAAGTATGTGCCATGCATACTCATTTAAATGCAGTATACATCGTACCTTAAATTTAAGAATTGTTTAAGAAATGTATTTTGTATATTTGAGAGGTGAACAAACCTTTTCTGAGCATGTCCAGTTATATGTGGCAATATACCATATCAGGATAGTATACCTTATTCGTGGAAATGAGTATGAAGTTATTCATTGACAAATTAAATCGAAATTGTATAGCCACTTTTGCGAAAAGCATGTATGAACAATTGTGTGTAGATGTCACTTTATTGAAAATGCTGAATTAAAATGTTTTATATTTAAGTTTTAATATTCTCTAAAATGATTAGTGAAAATACATATTTCTTGATTTAAGAAATTAGAAATGAAAGATTAGTTTACAACGAATTTACATTTTGTATTGGGATGACTTTTCAGTGAAAAAAAAGTTCTGAAGTTCTATCTAAAGGAACACTTCAGAAATCATGATAAATGGTGGTTAATTTATGAAATATCAGTTAAATAGTACTTTTGTTGTATTGAATGGATCTGTGAGACTTAGAAAGGGATTCTGACATGGATGCTGTGTGATCTGTTCATGTGTATGTAAATGAAGTTATCTAAGGACTTGTATGGGACATTAATTTGGATGCTAATTTGTCTATCAAAGCAGTATTATTCTTGTGTTTTTCATAATTTAGAGTCCAATTTCTCTAATAAGTATTGAGGAGATCAAAGAGGCTATTAGTGGTCAAAGGGGCATTTGAAAGTGAGGGGTTTAAGGACATACTTGAAAGATTTGGTTCCTTAAATATTTTTGAAGTAAACATTAAACAGGCTTTTGATTATGCAAATATAGCAATCATGCATTTTTACAATATTATCAATCAACCCATCACATAATCTTGGTTTGAAGTTGGGGGTTCATTTTTTACTCCAAGGAAATAAAAATTATAAATTGTTAATATAATATTCTAAAAACATGCTTATGAATCCATATTTGCAATGCTATCCTGAATATGTAAATTGCAAGTTCTTGAAATATATGCTCATGCATGTATTGGGATAAGAATTTGTTCATTATTGCAAATGCTTTAAGAAGTCTTTAATTGTTAGCATTTTTTTTTAAAAATATTATCTGGTGAGGTTAAATAAATATTTCGATGCAATAAATGCCTCTTAACGTCAAGTGTTTTGAGTTAATACGTCTTTTGGTTTTCCCCATGTATAACATAAATATGAGCCAGTATCTTAAAAAATTCCTGTATAAAAGCATCTTTTCCCTTAGGTACATAGCTCCTGTATGCCTTGGCTAAATCAAAGTCCAAATTCAATCAGTGCCTACAGCTTACATTCTAAAAACATCTAATATTGCATATGGTATTGAGTGACAAAATGCTGGAAAACAATGTTCTGCAGTACTTTATAAGTAAATATCACTAAGTGTTTTGAGGTGATCTTTACTGTATAGTCACTGGTAATTAGGCAGTAACTTAATAAGGAAGGTTGTTGGCTGGTAGTTCAAAAATGATCTCTGTTTCAGATTGCTGACAGTAACCTAAGAATTTAGTTTTTCTTAGTATATTTATGTAAAAATCAGTATCCTGAAAGGGGATAAATAAATAACAAATTCTGCAATACTTTATACCATTTTGTATATTTTTTGTGTTGTGTACATCGAGTTTTCTTGTACTTTATGACTTCAGTCCTGATAACAAGAGAGTACAATAATAATTGTCTGAATTTTAAAATGATGAATAATTATGAAAATCCCTTTGATACTTTGAGTGAAAAATTACTGAGGAGGTATTATAAATCATGGTTTTTAGTATTTTTAACCATTTCTATTTTTTCTGTTTAAAACAGTGTTTATATTTTATGTGTTATTTCATAATATTTTGTGATACCGATGATCCATTTATAAATTAGCATTTATTGTTTTTTCTTTTTGCAAATATCTATTAAAATTCATTTCATTATTTTTACATTAAATAAATAATCTTAACTCCAGCATTCGTGATTTTGCTATGGTGCTAGCAAAATATTATTTTCATATGTAGTTATTTGTATTACTCTGTGGAATCATATATTTTCTCCCCTTAAAATTCTGAATATAAATTTGTGTAAGTTTCAGATTTGAAGTGTTTTAATTACAATTAAATAAAATAGCGGGAAAAGTAGCGTGAAACAAGTAAAGCAGAAAAGTGTCTTGCCAGAGCAGTGATATGGATGAGGCAGTTGCCTCAGTAGGAAAAATGCCAAATTTTCTCTGGAAATTTAGAAATTTTTAAAAAAGAAATTACGATTGCTAAGTTTCAACTTTGGATCACATCAAGACAATACAACAATTTTGTGTTACACAGTCCATCTGAATTAAGAGAAGGATTAATAATAATTTTTCCTTAAAAGTGCTGAGATTTCAATGCTATATATAGTACAAAGTCTGAGATATGGACTCGTAAGGATTTCAGCATTTCTGTATTTGGGACTTTTTGAGTTATTAGAACATCAGTTTAAATCTAGTTAGATGACAAATAGAAATTATAAAATTAAAAATATGAAACAGTGATATAAAAATATGAACAGTGATTAAAAATATAAAATAATGAAACATTTATGATCTAAAGGGAATCAAAATATTTTTAAAAAAATCTTCACTCTTTATTTGTTTGCTTTATTAAAAATTTCTTTTAATATGAGTTATTTAATTTTTTTTGGGGGGATAATACTTTTATTTTAATTCTATAGATAGATATAATTTCTTGTTCAGTTTCAAAGTTCCATTTGTTCAAGATTTGCAAGAACTAACCATTCTCCTTCCTCCTAATAAATTTAAAATAAAACAATTTTACATCTAATATTCCAAAGTGTCATGTTTGTTTTCAAAATCCATAGAACTGCTACAAAAAAGATCAGATGGTTGTCACTCTTACAATGACAAACCATGAAAGAAAGATGACAATTGAGGCTTAGTTCTAACAATACTCCCACCTTTTGGTTTATGACACATACTTAATAAATCGAAACAATATATAAAAAATACTGCCCATACAAATATTAGGGCTAAATAGTAAATAAAAAGAAAATTAAGTTCTTAAATTTCTACACTAAAATGACTCAAGTAGTGTTCAGGTAAGAACCTAGATGGGATTTTAATTTGTCATCCGCCTCTCGTCACAACAGTCTTAATGTCCTTTGATAAATCTGGAGCTGTATTATTCTTTGGTAATTTTGGGACTAAATTGGGTAAAAGTTTACAATTGGGTGCCCCTTGTTTTTTGGCGATTCTTTTTTGACGTCAAGATCGGCGCCAGGAAGAAACAATTTCAAGATGGCCGCTATACAAAACCAAAATAAGAAGTCAAAGAATTGCATACACTCTATGTCCGTGTACACATCGATCTGTTTTCACTTAAAAAAAACATCTCAGAATTGCACAAACTAGGCATTGCACACTGCTTTAAATTTGTCCATGTACACATCAATCTATTTTTATTTAAAAAAAAATCAGCAGGCTAAAGCAAAGTTAAACTATCATGATAACCAGAAATGAGATTTTATCGCCAAAATTTTACAAAAAATTGTCGCTAATCAAAGGGGCACCCAATTCTACTGTCTGTCTATGGTAAGAACAACTCTCGCCAGTTTGTCTGCGGCTGTCTGTTGCCGTAGAAACGAGCCCTGACCTATTTTTTGTAGGGGTGTCTTGAAGATTTACTCCTCAGTTTGCCACCTTGGCGCATTTAAAGATGATTTGGCGATATTCACATTTTGTTTTAGGTTCAAGTAAAATGCTTGTTGACCCTTTGCATCGACCCCGACATTCAATTTCTGAAAATGAAAATTGGTGGCGTAGATAAAGTTTTTGCAGTTAAGAAACGGTTTTTGATTTTGCCGTGTGAGGTACAAGTCGCTGAATTTGCCATCCTTTTAGATGTACAATGAGTAAAAATATATCAAAATAACTTGTAGGGAAATACATTTAAAAATCCGTGCTTATTTTTGAAGAAAAATTTTAATTTTTACATTTAAAAAAAATCATGCTATTATTTTGCTTGCAAAATCTTAGAAATCTACTTGATTGCCCCATTCTCTGTAATATAATATAGACACACTTCATAAATGTCAAATAAATTAAATTTTTATATTTCTCCCCTCTAGCTAATCTACTGTGAGCATTCAAAGCAATTTCTTCAGTCTTTAAATGACGTTCTGCTATGTTTTTATTTCAAAATTTTCTATTAATTTATTGCTTGTGCTTTAATAATGACTAAAAATTTCATCGTTAAATGTATATGGAATCATCGAAAGTAAAAGCGTTTATTTACATATCCATGCTCTCAATAAATACTTTTTGCGAACATTTCTTCTTTTCCCATACCTTCAAACTAAACCAAAAGCTGGTCAATTTAATGACGAAAGGAAGCGAAGGTAAATTAAAATCAAAACTGCATTTTACTTAATTAGCAGCGGTTGGGTTGGTTTATATGATTACGGAAAACCTCCAGGGTTAAATGCCTAAGAGGAGGGGTGCCTTCGTGGAGGGCTTGCTAAGGAAAACTGGCTCGTATACACAATACACATGGGGCATGCAGCCAGCCCATTCGCGGGATTCAAACCTAACTACAAGTGTTCAGTGACTTTACCGATCGGCCGCTGCTGGGCCTCTTAATTACTAGCGCCCATTTATGCATTATGCTGCTTTTTATAGACACTGTAATAGCTTGTAGCATAATAGAATGTTAAAATCAGAACAAAATTAAGGTCTCTTAAATTGTTCAGTTACCTA